CATCGTGGGCGGGCATCCTCGTGGGCGGGCATCGTCGTCGGCAGTTGTCGTTGTCGTTAACGGGGTGGGTTGGTATGGAAGAGGGGGGGCGCACTCATTTTTGTATGATGACGAACGACAACGTCGTCGTCATTCGTCGTTTGGTTGCCACGTCGCTGATAGCGACGTGGCACCCTCTCAGTCGTCTCTCGTCGTCCGTTTTCATCGCCTCGGCCTTGCCGGGGGCTCGTTTGTTCGTGACGTGGCGTTCTCGCGTCGTTCTTGATGCTGGTGGTGGCCACGGGTGATCGTGGTGACGTGGCGTTGGTCAGTGGGCATCGTGGATGGCGTATGGTGGCAGCTATGGGCGGTTGTGAGTGGTGGCGGCGACTGGTGGTGGTGGTGGTGACGAGGCGGCACGGGTGTGGGTGGTGGTGGGAAGAGAGAGGTTTTCGATGGTGGGTTGAGGGTTGTGCAAATTTCCCACTCGCGGAATTTGCCGGCGTCCTTTCTGGGAAGAGGTCAGCCGGTTGGTATGTAGGGCATATAATTTATATCTATAATAAAGCCATTGTAGTGTAACTGGTAGAGTGCTTGTGTCTGTAATATGCTACTGTGTCCATAATGTCAAGGGTTCAATTCTTGTGGTTGTGCTTTTTTTAAATATTATATAATAACAACAACAGTGACAAACTACTGGTCCTACTGGACTCCTAGTGCCCGGAAATTCCTACTGGACTCCTACTGGATTCCTACTGGACTAATCCTACTGGACTCCACTATACCCATTCCTTAGGAATCCGCAATTCCTTGTGATTTGGGACCATTCCAGTAGGAATTTACTAGGACTCCACTAGGACTGGGACACAAAAATTGTATGGTGATCAGCCAACATAAAAATTGTCCCAGTCCTAGTCCAGTCCAGTAGGAATCCAGTAGGAATCTGGGAGTCCAGTAGGAGTCCGGTAGGAATAGGTGGAGGAGAGTAAAGAGCTCAGCAAGTTCCCAATCCGAGCCACTTATGTCGCTTTCAGGGACTCCCTGCGAAGCCAAGATTTGGCGGTGTCGAGCTCTCTCATGGGCGATCTTCTCCCAGTTCAGGGCATCGATGTGGTCATAAGGTTCCCGAGGAGCAGTGTACCCCTCAGGAATGGGGACGTACTCCTCCGAATCCTCCAAAAAGACCTGGATCAATCGATCCGCGGCATCCTGCTCCCCGCGTTGGGGCAAAGACCCTTGATAGTGGTGGTGCCCGCCATCCCAAGGCTGGGTGAAACGATAAGTGACCGCCTCTGAGCAGAGAAGCGATCACATGCTGTTCTTATCGTCCCATGTAAGGTCGTCCTCCAGGGAGAGGATCTTGAAAGGGTCCTCTCCAGAGTTGCAAGTCTTGTCGAGTGCCATTGCCACCTCGATGACGTACGAGTTGACGTGCAGTTCGTCTTCTTCCCTCAAAATGTTGAGGGCGTCCACGTAGTTCTCAGGCAAGTGAGGGGCTGTAAAGCCCTGCGGGATCGGGAGCCACTGCTTGGTGTCGTCGTCCAAATATTTAGTGAACCAGTCGGCTGCAGTCTGGCAGCCTTCTGTCATCTCGCGGCCATGGTAGTACTGGGTGGTCTTGTCGGCGTAGCTGAAGCAATACGCTGTGTGTTTGGACTCGCATGCCTCTCACATTTCCTGGACCTCGTCGTAGTCGAGGTCGTGGATTGTCAATGACCTTGGATGAAAGTCTTCATCGCGGATGCTGGTGAGTTCCCTTCCGGTTGAAGGTAGATCGTTGACGTCGAAGCTTGAATAACTATTGGCGCCTTCTGGCTGGTCAGGCAGCGTGATGTCGTCCTCGTCCGAACACGTTGGGGTTAAGTCCGATAGTGTGTGGTCACTGTTGCCCGCACTAAAAACAAAGACATGTGAGTTTCAACATGTGTGTTTGGATGCGGGTAAGATGACGAACTTTGTGGCGATGGCAGCAGGGGCCGTAGGTTGAGCAGACAAGGCTTTACGGCCGTATGTTCTGAGCACAGGAGCAGGTTTGGACTTGTGTGGAACATGCCCTGGCCTGCAGAGTACGGTTGTCAGACAGGAGAAATAAAAGCAAAAGCAACCGACTAAAGTTTGGTTGAAGAAATTGCCGCTGGCGTAAAGTCAAGCAGCATGCGAGTGACCTAAGCCAGCTCAAAGGATGGAAGCCACTCCCTCGAGGTCGCACGGTAAAACCAGAGCAACGCAAGCGGCGAATGACACTCCATCCAAACCAGCCCACAAAAAGAAGAAGAAGTGAAGGTTAAAAAAAGAACAGAAGCTTACCCAACAACGCCGGAGCGAACAGCATCTGGATGGCCTGCAGCCTCAGAAGCTGGGTCGTTGGCAGGTCGAACAGCCGCTTCAGTGGCAACATTCCTATTGGCAAAGCAGTAAGTACATTGCGATTGCAAGCAATGAGCAATGAATGCGCGGCAACCGACTCAAGTCTGGTTGAACCAATTGCCGCTGACATCAAGTCAAGCAGCATGCGAGCAACCTAAGTTGGCTCGATGTGGAGGGAATGAAAGGGATTGAACAAACAACTCACCTCGAAAGCTGCACCCTAGCTTGGATGTGCACACCATCGAAGACCTGAGCATTTGAAGGGCGCCGTTGTCCCTCTACGGCAGCAACAGTCTTCTTCTTGGGAGGCCCAGACTTCACTTGGGTTTTCCCCACTTCTTGGGTGGCGGCATCGTTGGCAGGGGCATGGATAGCCGTCTTCTTCTTAGGCGGCCCATACTTAACTTGGGTTTGCCCATCTTCTTGATTGCCGGTGTCGTTGGCCTGAGTGAAAGGTGCGACTGGCTCGGCAACTTGAAAGTCGGGGGTGGAAGATGCATGGACGGAAGCACGCCGTCCCCGTTTAGGTGGTGCGAGGTCGGGGACATTCTCCTTGGTGGAAATGGTCTGCTGGCCAGGCATTAGAACGATGCAAAAAGTATATTGAAAGGAATCACGTACCACGGAGCGAAGACGACGGCTCATGTTTGACAGGTAGGTAAGGTTGATGTGTATTGAGGTTGAAGGGTATTTCAAGAGATGGTGGTTGCTAATGAAGAAGAAATGTGGAAACAACAGAGTGCTGGCAAAAGACTGACTCACGTAAGCAACTGATGCGATGAAGAAGTGGGGATGGGGCCGAGGAGGAACACATAAACAAAGCGGTGGGCCAAATTACTCGGCCTCACAAGGTCGTCGTCGATAAGTGGAAACGGGAGGTGGGCCCGCCAAAGGATTGGCGAAATCTTTTGGAATTCGCATTATCAGACCCGGGTCCACGCCTGTATGAAAAATGTCAACAAATCTGTTAGTAAGGCCATAGTTGAGTGCGTACGAAATGGCAGAGAGAAGTGGGGTGTTGGTAAAAACGATGGGGGAAAGCTGCTGGTAGAGACACTGAGGGGGGTTTCGAGCAGAAATTGAGAGTGATGTTTGATATCACATGGAGAAGCGGGGTGTTGGT